ACACAAATCTTTAAAGCAATAAACAGTCTGAAAGTGCTGGTTGCATTTACTCTCAGGTCATCATATATAACTCAATTCACAATGGTGTTAAGAAACATTGAATGACAGAATTCTTATTTACAAAGCTCCATGTTTTGTACTGGAACCTAGCCAGACAGCCCACACAGGGAAATCAGAAACCAAAAATGTATTAAAATTTCATTAAGTGTGCCGAAGCCATAAGGAGTGCAAAGTCTTTCAAAACTTATTTTATGTTTAAGATTGATTGGATTTCTCCTGCAGCTGCTGTCTTGCCTCTGCAGATCAAAGGAAGCACCTGGCAGGGGTGATCAGGCAGCAGAGCTGGGCACACTCCAGCCCCTGCAGCAGATCCCAGAGCCCCCCAGAGGGGTCCCAGGACACGGCAGCTCCAGGGCACCCAGGGCTCTGCAGGGGCTGAGCCCTGAGCACACCTGCCCTGGATCTAGTGCACAGGGAGGAGTGGGACAAGAAACCCTCTCAGTGCTCCCAGCCAGGCCCTCAGTGCTCATGGACCAAGGGGTTGATCCTCCAGGCTGAGCCAAGGGATGCCCAGCTGCCACCTGGGACTTCTGCTCCTGCAGCATTTCCCTTGGACTTTCACTAACTGTGCCAACACCAGCCCTGCCTCAGCTGCTTACAGAGCAAACAGTACTGAGCAAACAGGGTAAAATCAGAAAGCACAGGTCTGGGGTTAAAACCTCATGGAAAACCAAGCCCTTGTGCAACGCAGAAAGAGTTGAGGTGAAGAAGTTCCTGGGAATGAGGGAAGCTGAGAGGGAGGAACAGCTCACAGCAGATTTGTATGGAGCAGCATAATGCCAGTACCTCAGCATGTCCCTCACGTACTTTCAAAGCCTTCAATCAATTTTAAAATCCCAGAAATGATCTCCTCCTTTCTCACTAAGCAGCAACTGTATGGGCATTCTGAACAGAAGCAGCAATCAACCCTGAGAAATGGTCTCCTGCCTCACTGCTTTACACCAAAAGCTACGTGAGGATCACTACCAGCCCTGTCCCTCTTCACAAAGTCACTACCTTGACCCTGAACAGCTACTGAGAGTGTGTTTCACTTTGAGTTATTACTGCCTGGGTAATGAAAGAATTATGAATATTGCTGACCCAAATGCTTACATCAAAACTAATTTTTTTTCCAAAATATTGCACCCATTTCTAATTAGAATCTCTGCAGAAAACTGCTTCAGGTGAAGAGTGCCTGCATTTCACAGCAAAAAAAACATTGGTTCCTTTAAATTCTGAAATACATTTTAAGGGTTTATTCCATGCTTTTTTTTTTGACACTTAATTATACCAACAGCACTATTATAAATTACACCCAGCTTTTTCATTACACACCAACCCGACGATGCTTTGATCTGCAAGAAAATGCATCTCAAAATACTAAACAGTGGCTGCCTTTAGTTTTGCTACCAGCAAAATAACAAAAGCTGGTGGAATAGTGTCAGGCAGGATGATTTATTGCCTCTATGCCCACCCTGAGATAAAGCAGCCCAGCCCAGCAGCAGCTCCTGCACCCCTCCAGGAGCTCCCATCCAAGAGCCCAGCACTACTCACCCCTGGGATCACTGTGCTCCAGCACGGATTGCTGCTGGGAACTGCTGAGTAGGAAACACCAGGCAGGAGAAGGATGCTCCAGGCCAGCACAGGAGCTGTGGTTTCCACTTAGACACGCATTTCCATTTCTTCTGGTCACGAGTGAGGTTCTGTCTCCCCACACGGCGTTGGATGACCCTCAATGAGGCCTCTCAGGTGGCTGACACAGCAGAAAGGTTTTAGTTTTTTCCTCCAGGCTTCTGAAGATCCAAGAAAGATTTTCTTGTTCTACACACAGGTTACAAACCCACAAACTTGGTGCTATGACAGAGTAGTGAAAAAGGAGCTCTGAGTTTGTTTGTGGGTTTTTTCCACTTTTGTTTGAAGTCAGATTATAAGCAAACTAAGAAAAAGACATCTAAAGCAAACAAAAATTAGTAATCTCTAGAAGCAGAGACAGCAATGCTCAACCCTAACTGAAACAAAATCTTCCAGAAGTGCATGGGAAGCTCTTTGCGAAGGCAATCAACCCAACTGGAACTGGCAGTTCAAAAAATAAACTTTTTCCAAGCACCCAGTCAGCCTGTCAAACTGAGAGCACCTAGGCTAAAGCACCCTCTTGCTCCAAGAGCCTGGTCTTTCCACCTGTACTCAGCTCCTCCAAAAAGCAGAAGAAAGCTCCATGACTTTCATTTTAAAGGACAAGGGTGCAAACTGGCCCCAGCTGCCCCAGGAGAGGTGGAGCAAGCGGGAGGTGCCCATACCACCTGTGTGTTTCCCAAAAATTTGGGTCAGAGGCTGCTTTCCCCCAGGCAGTGGGTGCTGCTGGTCCCAGGCCAAAGCTGTTTTGTGGGCAGCCCTGCACATGGCAGCACGGGTGTGCCCTTCCTTCTCCCTTGACACAGGGCACCCTGGCAGGGATGACAATCAGCAGTGCTCTGCCTCCGGGCTCGCTGCCTTGGGCCCCCCCTTCTCCACAGTGCCCTCCCAAAAAGAGCCCACTGCCTTCTTCTGCGGGGGAAGAAAGTGGTCTTGGGCACACAGAAAAGTTTGTCTCCTTTTTTATCATCTCCTGGAATTTTGGCCCCCATCCATGAAGCAGGCAGCAGATGACTCTGAGCTCTGTCCTGAGATTTTGGACTTTGTCCAGCTCACCTCTGAAACCTGCTGTGCCTGAGGTCCTTTCCAGAAATTACCCACCTCCTGGGAATCTGGAACTTCTCCAGATGTCCCCAGGCTAGAGAAGCTCAGCTCAGTCACCTTGGGGCCACGGGGGCTCTTCCCTGCTCCCACCCATCCCCAGCGTGGGGCAGGGGTGCTTGGCCCAGGATGCTCGTGCTCTGGGGCACGAGCCAGCTTGGAAGGATCTGAGGCTGGGTGCCTCCATCCTGGCCAGGTTTGGGGTTTCAGCACCACTGACCTTCTGCCTGAGCAGGCAACAATCCCAAGTCCCACCTGCTGGCAGGAATTGCAGCATCCAGTTGGATCTTTGGGAGAGGAATTCACCTTGGGTGTGTGCAGGACTCGCCTTTACCTTGCTCAAAGTTCAGCAAGAGCCCTATGGATTTACAGTTCCCCTCAGTATTCTTGCACCCAGAAGCCTTGACACCACAGTCCTTCTTGGCTGTGCAGTGTCTTGCATCAAGGTCCCAGCTGATGGCCAGTGACATAATGCCCCAACATCAGCTCTCTGTCACACATTGCACTTCCAGGACATCAGATATGCCAAGGTGCACCTTGGATGTTGCTTCTGCAGAGACATTTCTCTCTTGGATAAATGCTTTGTGTGTCCTCCTGCTGCTGCCAGGAGCAAAGCCAGAGGAACAGGATGGGTTATTTCTAAATCCAAGAGGGAAGGTGTCAACTCACAATTGTCCTTTGAGGTCAAAAGATAGCACAAAGTATCTATAAACTGATGATCCAGTCAGAGTACATTAAATAAATATCTGCCTATTAGTTCAGCTCCAAGAACCTGAAGGCAAAATAGCTTTTCCTTGATAAACAACAAAGAGCCAATGTTTTCTTGGCCAAGTCATCCTTGATTTGGGGATGAACCTCCAAATATCACTCTTTAGAAGTGATACTTTAGAAGTGATACTCTTAAAGAACTATTATTGTTGCACACCAGAAGAAAGCCCATTACAGTGCACATGCCCCATCAGCAGTGATTTATATGCACTGCCACATTTTTTCTTTAATTTTCATTTCAAATTAAATTTCCTCTTCTGCATGGCCCAGGTTGACATTCCTGGTCAGCCCCAGCTGCTCCCCAGGATGACTTTAAACACCCTCACAGCCCACATCAGCAAAACTACCTGGCAGAGCTTTTGAGCAGCAATGGGACAGCCTGGAAAAGCAGCAGCATGGGCTCACCCTGCTGTCACCACATGGCGCCAGCAGCCTCATCAGGTTCTTCACTTTGAGGACCAAGCAAATATTTAACAAGTTCCCCTTGCACTACACCACAGTTCATTATCCGGTCTCCCGAGCTCCTCCAGTCAGTAATATCCTCTAATTGATGTGATTTGGCACTGGGCCATGGAGTTAAATTGATTTGTAGGCCAGCAGGAGACAGCAGATGCCCTTTACACTTGAGGAAAGTGGCACGTGGCAGTGTTTACTGGCTGCTGCAGGGGAATGCTGTGGCACGAGACGACTTTCGGGGTGCAGGAGGGGGCTTGGCCTGCTTGGTGTCCTCTGTCACAGCCCCTGGTGAGTGACGGGGTGTGACTGCCACCAGGGAGTGGCTGGGGGTCACTCCAGTGATGAAATTCCCCCTCCCTCCTTGACGCAGGGGATGCTGGTGCACAGGCTGAGGGAGAAACAGGGAATTCCCTTCTCTAAACCAGGGCAGGAGGAACAAGGGTGATCTTTTGACCATGACCTGCTGAAGGGTGCCCCAACAGAGCCTCCCATCCCTGGGCTGGAACCAGTCTGGGGCAGGAGGAGCAGGGACATCCTGCCTGTTGCCTTCAGCAGTGTTGATTATCACATTTCCAAACTGCTTTGTTGCAAATTATTTTAGGGCAAGTCATGTAACTCTTGCTCAGGAAGGTTTTAACAACCATGTGCAACTCGCCTTCGGGATTTCACCTCCAGCATATTAACACTGTGGAAGAAGGAAGTCAGCATGGAATCCCAGCTCTTATCATCAGCCTAGTACTCTGAATATTTAAGCTTACTTGAAAGCCTCTTTTCATAATTATGAAAAAAACATTAATATGGTAGAAGAGTTAAGAATCTCATTTTCCATTTCAATCATCTTATTCATATTCTGAGAATTTTAGGCTAGCACTGAAATCCTTTTCTTATCACGCCAGAGAGCCACATTCACCTTTAAGATATTTATTGATAATTAAAAATAGTAAGATTACAATCACTCATATAAAAATAATAAATCTGAATAAAGCAGGATGACTGGTAGAGGTGGGAGGAGGGTTCCTCCTTGGATGCCACATTACTCCAGGCCTCATGGATTGGACAGGGCTGGAAGGATTTTTCCTGAGCACTGGCCAAATCCCACACGGAAGCCGTTGCCCTGGCAGTAACCTAGGGACAGAAAACAACACACAGCTTGTTCTGTAAGGACAGCAGGATTTTGCCAGGAATAAAAGTAAATAAAAGCATAAAGAGACTAAAACCAAGTGAAAACATCTCAGATATGCAATGAGGGGCAGAATAAAAGAACACCTGAGCTCTGAAGAGCTCAAGTAGCCTAGGAATATGAGGAAAAAAAAAAGCACAAACTGTTAAACACAGCAATATTCAAGTTCAGTGAATTGATCAAAGAACAAATAAGATGTGCCAGCAATATTTCTGTTTTCAAACCTAACCTGCAGCACCATCAATCTACCTGGCAAACTGATTCACTGCCTGGCCCAGCCCTGCAATTAATCAAATAAATCTGGATTCTCTTTCTGCAGCATCAGGACTGCTCTTGGGATGCTCTGATGCTGACAGCCAGAAAGGCAGTCATGAAACCCCCTCCAGCAGCAGGACCTACCCTTGCAGAAGCTGTTTCTCTTGCTAAAGTCAAGTACTTTAGTTCCATGAGAAATTCAGCACCTGACTCCAAGTTCTCATTAGTGCTGTGTTATATAAGAGGGGTGGGAGCTCTGCTGGCTGAGCTCACGGGGCTGTGACAGTGTCTCTGACCAGGGACAGCTCTGGGGACAGCTCTGTGTCTCCCTGCTCCTGAGTGATGGAGGAGATGATGTTGGGACAGGGATGCTGCAGCTCCTCCTGCTGCCACGTGTGGCATTCACATTCTCTGAAAAATCTCTTTGCCCAGGATTTTTCTCCTGGGAACCTGAGGAGCCTCAGAGAAAAGGAAAACACTTCTTATCATATTTGCTTCTTCTGTGTTGTGCTCACATGTGGCATGTGTTTGGAGATTGCTCACCCACAGGTGATTGTTTAATTGGGTTCTGCTGTGGGTTGTTTTCACTCATTGGCCAATCAGGGCCAAGCTGTGTTGGGACTTTCCAGAGTCACCAGTTTTCTTTACTATCTTTTTAGCATTCTGTAAGTATCCATTCTGTATTCCTTAGTATAGTATATGAAGTTTTCTTTAATATAATATAGTATCATAAAATAATAAATTAGCCTTCTGAGAACACGGAGTCAGATTCATCATTCCTCCCTGCCAGGAGGAGGGAGGGAAATACAAATAAAATAGCCATGGGCCAGCCAAGCTGCTCCACAGGCAGCAGCCACCAGCAAAGCTGGGGGCAAAGCAGGGGAGAGGACACAGCCAGGACCTTCTGGCCCCTCCGAGGGGTCTGTTCTGGGAAGAGCAGCTGAGGAGACCTGCTGTAGCCTGCTGCTGCAGCAGCTGACCAAAGGAGGGACAAGTGGCATATGCTGCTTTTTAAGGACTATTTCACAGTTAGAGATGGATTCTCCTGATGGAATCATCACCTGCATATGATAAAAACCAGCTGCCTTCAAGAAGGAGCTCAACAGAACAGAGCCTAATTCCCACCCTTAGCACAGACCATGGAAAACTCCCCTGAGGAAGAGGAAGGGCGCACTCAGGCTGCAGGGCAGCCAAAGTGACTGCAGCACAGAGAGAGACCCTGCCAGCCCTAACCCAGTTCAGCTCTCACAGCCAGGCTGAAATTAAGTTTTCCAAGGACAGTGGTGTCTCTGAGTGCTTGTGTAAAGCCACAGACACCATCCTGCTATCTGCCAGGTAATCCTCATCCTTAAGCAGCCGTGGAAAAAGGCACTGTAAGGCTCAGCTCAGCTTCCATTTGCCTCATTAGGCTTCATTGCCAGCTTTCCTTTGAGCAGCAGCTGATTATTTCAGTCCAGTTTGGTTATCCCTGCTGTCAGGCACAATTTAGAGCAGCACCAAGGAGCAGCACACTGAACAAAGCCAGCCCTGTGCTGCCAGCAGCCCTGGCCCGAGCTCTGTGTGTGCCAAGGAGCTGCTGAGGGGTTTTTGCAGGCAGCTGCCAGCAAAAACCAGCAGGAGCCCTTCCCCTGCCATGCTCCCTTCCTGAGACACTTCCTGGGAGAAATACATTTCTCTCACTTTCAGAGACTTAACACTCGTGTGTTAAGTCTCTGAAATAGGTCCCATGTGGGGAGTAAGAATACAAAGTTGAACCAGAAAAGCAGAAATGATGTGTTGAGCACTTGGCAAGAGCTAATGGCTGTGCCTTGGGAGAGGACGGAATAGCACCAGCCCTGCCCCAGGGGTGCCTTAAGGCCCTGGACCTGCCACACATCACTAAATAAATAAATAAATAAGTAGGGGCAGCTCCCAGAGAGCCCTAGCAGCCCCTGGCTCTTTGCAATGCCCTGGTGCCACAGCCACAAAGTGTGCCCGTGTGAAATGGCCCAGCAGATCAATTGCCATGGCACTGCCCCACTGTCTCCCCAGCTTAGCAGCAATGCCATCTTTAAACATTAAAGACAGTCAGGATTCTAAGCATTTAATGAATTAACATAGCTTGTCCTGGGCAGGAAGAGCATGGCTCATGGGCTGGTCACCTTTGTCCCCAGGCTGGCTCCCTGTGCCAGCAGCTCCCAAACTGTGAGGTGCTCCTTGCCAAAAGGGATATGGGTGTGCAGCTCCAGCATCCCTCACTGCTCCCTGATGCAGGGCTCCTGGCACAGTTTCTGGAGGGAGGCTGGGGACTCTGGAGGGCAGTGTGGCACTTTGGATTGCTGGAGGAGTGTCCCTGCACATATGGGGAGCCTGTAGAGAGCAGCCTCAGGTGGCTCCAGGCTTCAGCCACTGGGCTGCTGGAGGATGTCAGAGGCACTGGGGACTCCTCAGGGTCATCACCTATGGCTCTCTCTAGTGCATCTCAGCCTCCAGCTGTCTCAGCATTTCCTCTGTCAAACTGGCAGCAGCTCACAGAAACACGATTTTATTTTCAAGGCTATTGGATGGGCTGCCAGGCAGGAGGCACTGGAATTGCCAGGGGACTGGAATACATACATTCCTTTTTTTTTTTTTTTTTTTTTTTTTTTTTTTTTTTTTTTTCTTGAAAAATTGAAGGGTTCTCCTCAAATCTATTGTGCTTGGGGCTGACAACACCGGATACCCAATCATTCTTGGCTCTCTCTAGTGCATCTCAGCCTCCAGCTGTCTCAGCATTTCCTCTGTCAAACTGGCAGCAGCTCACAGAAACACGATTTTATTTTTTTCAAGGCTATTGGATGGGCTGCTAGGCAGGAGGCACTGGAATTGCCAGGGGACTGGAATACATACATTCCTTTTTTTTTTTTTTTTTTTTTTTTTTTTTTTTTTTTTTTCAGAGAAAAACAGTTTATAATTTTAAACTGTTTTGTCAAAAATCCTAGGAGTCCAGGTTGGGCTGAGCAGGCCCAGGTACACATATTAATATCACACCATGAGGCAGCTGCCCAGGTGTTTGTCACTCACATTCTCTCTGCCCTCAGTCACACCTGGGAAGTCTTTCCCCACTGCTTGAGCCATGTGTTCCTGTGCAGATATCTCTGATCACATCTCAGGATGGAGCTGCTCAGAGCCAGGTGTGGCACTGGCTGGGTCTCAGCTGGTGACACACAACATCCCACAGGACATTCCCTAAAATCCCAGTAGGTCACACAGCAAAGACACTGAAGGCTTGAAACAAAAGTTTCTCATGGCTGTTTGTGCCAAATATTTGCCACCCCAAAGATGAGAGGAGAGGAAAAAATAGATTTGTTTTGCTCTAGGCTTTGGGTCAAAAAGAAGTAGGAGTGGGATGTAGATCACAAAGAACTGTAGTAGATTTTAATTCATAAAATCCTTAGATTATCAAGATGAAAACTAAAACCATGCCTCAGCATGATCCAGGTCTCAAGCAGAGCCCTTTCCAGAGGGATCAGCTGCTCTAGAAGGCTCCATGGTTTCCCACATACTTGATTTGCAACACACTTCACTGAATATGCCTAGGTTGCAAACAAAATATTATTTGAAAAATAGCATTTTTTAGCATTTTCCAAGTTCTGCTCCACATGCAAACTTGCACTGTGGTGGAAACAATTAATTGCTCCTAGTCCTGGGGTATTTTTACCCATAAAGGCAAACCTACCTCCATCATCTTCTTGGTGCTCACACAGTGGCATAGCAGGAGCATTAAGGACTTAGAAAAGCAAATAATCCATTCTAGAAAGGATTGATGGCAGGGAAATTTCCATCCACTGCTTGAGCCTCCTCACAGGTAGATGGAAGCAGCTGTGCTTGCATGGCAGGTGTGTACAGAAGAGCCCAGCTCCACACCAGGGGCTCGTGCTGCTGGGATCAGCCTATGGAAATGTGTCCTTGCTGCACTGTAAGAGCAGCTATCCAGCCATTACCTGTCAAAATTACTTCATCTCCATCCTGCAGGAATTTACGAGACTGCCCACTGCCAAGAGGGATTTCTTTTGTTCCGTTCCAGGACAGCTCCAGCATGGAGCCAAAGCTCTCTGGCTCCTGCAGCAAGAGTTCATAAACAAATAAACAATTTTTTAGTATCTCTCCTGCTGTTCAGCTTCTTGCTGCTGGGAGCAGACACACAAGTATGTTACCTCTACAGAGCAGAGTTTTGCTGTTGATTTCATTAATTGATACATTTGGTCCTTCTCCTGACTTTGCATTTTAATTTCTTGCTGGCTATTAGCAGTAATGCTTACAGCTGTTGTTATCTGGTGTATTTAACATAGCGTTCAACCTGTTAAAGCAGTTTGGGTCTGCCACAGCAAGAATGGAAACAAGTGGAGGAGACTTCTACAAATCCATTGCTTTTATGCAATCACGTTTCAGATTTTTAATTACATTTTGTTCTTCAGAAGAGCAAAGCTGCTGTTTGTGAGTCTTTAATGTCTTCTGCAGTACAACAGTCTGAAGATTCAAAAAGCACCTCAGAAATGCTCAAAAGTGAAGTACATGCATCCCAGCTTGCAAACACCTTACCTGAGGCTGTCTTTGAGACAGCATGTACAGGATTTTTGTGTTTGGTGGTTCAGAAAGTGAGGGTTGCCCATATGTTGCAGCCACTGTCCAAATGGCAGCTCAAGGGGGGGTAACAGCTTGTGCAGCTGGCTCCAGCTTCATTGGACAAACTAAAAGTTATACCCAGGCACCTTTTACATTATTTTCACAAATAAAAAGCTGCATTTCACAGAGGGTAAATGGATTGTGAGGATGCTTCCACACAGAAGCTAATTTGCATCTATTGTAAAATCATTCTTAGGGAAAGAAGCACAGGAGAGATCAAAAACCCAAAACTCAACAACACAAAAAAACCAGCCAAGCAAAAACCCAACCCAAACCAAACCACTTCTCAGTGTGAGCTTGGGGCCACCAAAGCAGCACCCCAGCGTGCCTGGGAAGGAGCTGCAGATGTTTTGTGGTGCTCAGATCAGGAAGGGCTTAGCCCCAAGCCCTGCTCTGCTGGTTCTGAGCTGCTGACCAGTGATTTCATTGTTTCAACACTTACAGGTCCACTGATGGTGCCAGAGGCCAGGAGGTCTCCAGGCCTGAGGTTGCAGCCATTGATGGAATGGTGAGCCAGCTGCTGTTTCATGGTCCAGTACATGTGCTGGAGGAAGGAGGAAGAGGGGCTAAAGCAAGGAAGCAATGAAGGACAAATTCTCTGGTGGCCATTAGGCTGTGCAGAATGGAGTCATGGGGGCTGGCCTATGGCATTCATAAAACCCACACTTTAACATGCAATTTAGTCCCTTAAAACTTCTCTTATTTCAGCTGGATTTCATTTTTCTTCTTCTTTCTCTCTAAGACCAGTACTGCTGACCCAAGCTCCATGATTACACCCAGTATTTTAACAGTTCTTATTTCAGCTGGATTTCATTTAAAATCTCTTCTTCCTCTCTAAGACCAGTACTGCTGACCCAAGCTCCATGATTACACCCAGTATTTTAACAGCCTTGTTGAAAAATCTACTTATTACTGATTTGCTGACTACTGATTTACTGATTAAGGTAATTACTATGCCAAGAGCCAAATGTGGATATGGAATGGATTGAGAACTGCTGCAGCTGGCACATAGATCTCCTGGCTTCAATCAGTGGAGGCAGAGCCACCACACTGCCCACAGAGGGGATGGGGCAGACCCAGGCTGGCAGCAGTGACTGCAGCTAAATTAGAGCTGTGGCTGCAGAGCTGTACTGCAAGAGACAATTCCCTCTGCCTGCAGTCCTCTGTTCTCCCTGAAAAATGGGCACAGGGCTAAGGATGCTCTGAGCACCCCAAGGTGAGCAGCAGGGAGAGCTGTCCCCTTCATCAAGCATCCAGGTGTTCCCACCTCACAGGGGGATCCATCACCATCTTCATTTCATCTTTCAAAAATGAAATGTTCCTCATTTTTTAAAAAAATTCTGGACTGCTCAGGGAAGTGGTGGGTTCACCACCCCTGGAAGTGCTCACAAGGTGTGTGGATATGAGGGACATGGTTTAGTTGAGGGCTTGGCATTTGGACTTGATGATCTTTGAAGTCTTTTCTAACCTTAGTGCCTCTGTGATCCTGTTCTATGAGTCTAATGCAAAAAGCAGTGTTTGAAATTGCCTGGGCTGGAGCTGATGGCATCAGCAAGATTGCAAATAAACAAAAGATCCTGGAGCCTTACCTTGAAATTGGATCTGCATATAGTAGTTGGTGTGCTCATTCCTTCTCCTGCAGAAAATAAAGGATAAAAAAGAGAAAAGCAATTTGTTTGTGTTGGATGAATGATGCTGGAGTCTTTTTATTTTACAGATGGATGGAGACTTCTTTTATCACTGTAATCCCTAGTGAAAAAACAGTAACAACATTTTCTATTGCCATGAAGACTGGGATTTCATGGAAAACAAGTGTGGGGATTGCACTGGGGCACCATCAAGCTGCCCCTGGTCAGCAGGGCCTAAGCTGGGGGCTGAGCTGGGTTAACATCTGGATCCCACACAAATCTGCTCATTCCATGCCCTGATGACCCCTGCCTATGCAAGGAGACCCTCGGGGACCCTCCTCAAGGGGAGCTGGCCAGCTGGGAGCACTCCCTGCTTGGCACATTGCTCCAGCAGCGAGCCGAGCAGTTCTGCCCCTTTCTCTGGGCAAAGCAGGAAAAGAGGGAGCCCAGAGCCAAGTGCCTGGAGGTTGTGGTGGTGCCACGAAATTTGATTGGCAATTGCAGCTTTGTAACCCACTCAGCTTTGCCATACCTTTAATGGCAACAAAGAGCTTGATGTCAAAAGTGTAGGGCTCTTTATCCTGAAGGTAGGGCAGCGGCTTAGGATCCTAAAAGCACATAAAAGACATCACAGTCCAAACCAAAAGGAATTTAAAAGTCCACAAGACATTCCAGTGAGTATTGGTGTACCCAGCCTGTGTTGCACAGCCCATGCATTCCACCATTCTTACAGCTCAGGTTATCACTTTTCTTGGTCTCATGCACACACTTTTAAAGATCTTTCTGAACAGACCAAATATCAGTGTAATCCAATTCCTTTTTCTGCACCAGGTTTGCAAAAGCCATGCCCATCATTTCAGCGTGGATGTTAATCCAGCACAGAGTGCCAGCACACTTTGCTCTGTGCCTGCACAGAGAAGATGGTGAGGTCTCTGCAAGGCTCTCTGATCTTTTCCAGTTTTAACCACCTGCACAATGCAGACAACTGGAAATGCCTGAACAAAGTGTTCTGGCTTGACTCCACCCTCTCTCCACCACTTACTGGATGCTAAGTGCTACCAAGGACCCAGAAGAAGCTCTGATTAGTTTATTTTCCAGGTGTTTTAAAGATGATTTTTCTGCCCCCCTCAAGCAGGATGACAGCACAACCTGTGCCAGGGCAAGTGACATCAATGAGCACTTGGACTCAGAGGGCCCTTCATCTGCTCAGAAGCAGAATCCCAGCTGTGGATCCCATGGAGACAATCCTTGGCATGGAGGCAGCTCAGTGATTTCTGCTGAAGGCGCCTTCCAGCTCTGCTGACATTTTTCTAGCACTGCTTTTTCTTTATTTCAACTTTTTCTCTTGCTGACCTGGACAGGGTTTGGCAACACAAATGGCATGAGAGCTTCCATGGTGACAACCCAGGGAGAGATGGTTGTGCCAAGGCTTTTGCTCAGGAAAGGACCCAGAGGAACATATTCCCACTTCTGGATGTCACGGGCTGGGAAGAGAACATTCAAAGCACTGCAGGTGAACATATCCTAGGAATTGCACATCCATCAGACCCACGGAAGAGTAATATGAATTGAAATTGCTACTACCCCCAGCCTTTTCTAGCTGTTGTGCCCAAATCCTAATTTAAATCCATCCGTTTTCAACCCAGTGTTCTTAGATCAGCTAGATTAGGATGATAAATCAGCAATAGGTAAAACAAACCAGATCATCCCCATATAACCAGTATTTTTACCCCCACTTTAATTTTTTATAGTTTCTATTTATAATTTATTATATATAATTTATAATATATAAATTATAAAAATAAATGTATAATAATCATTTTAGTCCCAGCTAATGGTCTTTGCCAGCCATAGGGAGAATTTCAACAAGGTAAGTCTGTGCAGAGACTGAGGGATTTGTGATTGCCAAATCCTTTTCCCGACACTGAAATCAATCACCATCCTTGGTATCACCATTCTTAGGACTCCTCCATCCCTGCCCAGAAGAAACTAGACCGAAATTAGCTCTTCCATAAGTAAATAAATCTTCATTAGGCAGCAATTTCTGGTTCTACTAATTGATCAAAGATGGATTGATACAGGCAACACTTCATTTTCATCCCTTTCAGTGTACCAGTGGGTTCAGTGATCAGTTCTGCTGTTAGAATATGTAATTTCTGCCTCTCTGGGGTTTCCCGTGGTGCTGTACCCCCCTCTCCAGGCAGGATCCCACAGCAGCGCTCACCGCTCCAGTCGTTCATCAGCACCATCCCAAAGATGTGCTCCTGGGCCCTGCTGATGGGAATGGGCTCCCCAAACTTGTTTCCAGGACCTACAAAGAATGCCTGAAATCAAAAAGGAACGTGATGATCATGTTTTTGAAGCTAAAAGTCTTTGCAGCACAGAGAGTTATGGTCAGCAGCAATAAAGGCTGAACAGGATGAGTTTTGCACCATTTCCCACACACATTTGGACAAAACCCATGGCCTGCTCCCCTCTTCCCCCCCTCCACGAAGCTGGCAGGCTTGAATTACTTAAGAGCTCTGTGTTGCTAAGAGACAGGCATTAAACAAGGGCACCATGTTGTCAAAATGCAGGAGGAAAAAATGGTCCCTCCTAATTAGGTCCGGATGCAGAACAGGTTTGCCCACTGAAGGGACTGATTGCTGCAGTGAACAGGAAGGAGTGTAAAGACATCCAAGGGAACACTGAAGGTGGCTGGAGCCTGATGAGACAGTGGGGAAGAACAGGTGGAGAAATGTGCCCACTAAGTAAAGTAGGCCATGAACTGGGTGCCTGCACTCATTCCCTCAGGTATCCACAGCCTGCACATGCAGAGGATTTTATAGGAAAACTCAGCTGTCTCTTTCTGTCTACAATATGGAAGTTTTCCTTCTGTTCTACTGTTTTCCACTGCAGCCAGCAGTAGAATTCAGGCTGGAAAGCAGAGCTGTGGCAGCACCACGGGAACCCCACTTTGTGGCACTGCATCTCCCCTTACAGCACTGATTGGCAAAGAACCCAGCATTAAAGAGTTTCACTGCATTTTTAGAACCATTTCCATCAATATTACACTTCTTCCAGTACTTTTTTTTAAAGGGAAAAGACTGGGAATAAAACACACAAAAATTATATCAGCTATTAAAATTATATAAATCTTAATAGAATCCTATGAAACCCTCCCTTCTGGACCACACCAAGTCACAGCATGATGTGACTTCCCACCATGTTTTTTTACAACACCCACAGCACAGGTTTTAGCTTTCCAGGCAGGAGAACCAAGAGTTTGAATCCCACTGCCAAGAACTCGGGGCTTCCTCTGCTCCAGCACAAGGTGCAGACAGCCTGGACTTCCCAACCCCCAGCATCCATTGATGGATCCTGGCTGCAGTGCAGAGGTAACTGCTGACCAGGAAAGTGGCTGTGGTGGCTGTGAAGAAGAATTCTGCTGCCTGACTGGTGCTCAGCTTTGGCCAGGTGAGCTTTTTCCAGCCTGAGAGCTGTATGAGCAAACCTCCCAGTGAGCTAAGGCACCCTGCTCCACATCCAAAGCAAAGGTTTGTTCCACAGAAATCCTTACTGCCTGCAGCACAGACAGCTCAGAGGAGAACACAGGAGTGGACCTTATGGGACATTCAGTTTAGAAGAAGTTAAACCCACCCTTTCTTCCCTGTTTCTTTTTTAATTTTCCAAGTCATACGGAGAAAAAACCTCTCACCATTTCTAACTCGATATCCAGACGTTTACAAGCACCAAACACTGGGGGCTTATCTGTGGGTAGAAGCAAGAATATATTACAACAGGGAGGCAGCTAGGGAAATAGAAGTAATGGCCAAAAGAAACAGCAGCTGTGCTGCTTGGCATGGAACAGAAAATGGAATTAAACCAGGCCTTTCTCTTGCCCTGACCCCCGGCTGGGCTTCAGGCAAGGCAACCCAGACCCTTCCACTCCACTACTCCATGATGTGGAGCAAAATCAAAGAATGAAAGAAATAAGAATTTGGATTAAAATCCTGGCAGAACTCACCATTGTCAGGTTTCATCTGTCCCACAGGTCTCCGGATGGGCGTCCCAGACACCACAACAGACGATGCCCGGCCGTGGTAGCCCACAGGTAAGTGCAGCCTCGAGAAAGAGCACCACAGTGCCCGGGTTAGCTGGGTGCCAGAGCAGCTTTTTGGGGTGGAAGCACCACGGGAGTGGGAGGTACAAGGAGCAGGAGCTCTGTATGCATGGGCACAGACCTCAGCACTGTATTCTGATATGAGGATGGAAGTGAAATAGAATATAATAACAAAGCCGTGTTGCAGTCTTAATGCACTGCTGTGCCACTGCTCCAATTAATTCCTTGGATCTTAAATTCTGCTTTCTTTTCACTTAGCAAAACCTAATTTTTTAGGTATATTTGTTTTTAAACTGGGGGGCTGCACAGAAACTGGTGTGGCCACTGCAATGAAGGGCGGTGCAGATTCAGCTGAGGCTGGGGACATGTGGAATTTGGTTCTGGTATTGAACTCTGGACAACACTGATTCTCATCTGCTATGAACTGAAAACAGTGTGATCCTGAAAAACTACTCAGACCTTTAAAACATCGTGTATATGTACGGATAAGCCTGCAAAATACTGCTGCACTAGAGAACAATCCAACAGTCCACCCACCAGTTCGGCATCAGAGCGTTCTCCTTCCCCCTGAACATGATCCCAACGTTTGTGGCATGCTGGCGTGAAGAATAGAAGTCAGTGTAGTCTCCTGCACGAGGAAAGAATCCATAAACCAGGGATCAGTGGCAGCACAGTCCCTCATCTGCGGGGGCTGCAGCACGTCATCCGCAGAGAAGGAGACAGCAAAGGGCTCGGGGATGTCAGTAACAGCACCAAGGGGTGATTAGCAGTGATTAGCAGTTCACCTATAAATTATGCAGATAAAAATGTGTTTTGTTTTTTTGGTTTTTTTTTTTTTTTTAGTCTCCAGTAGAGAAGAGGAGGGAACACGCAGGACACAAAGCAGCAGCCCCCTTTCCAGAGAAGCAATTCCCGCTGCTTTTCTCCAGCCGGCGGTACCGGCACGGGAATTCGGGATACTCAGGACATCTGCTGCCCTCTGCTGCCATCCCTGCAAACAGCTCCCACCCTCCCGAGCCACGGGAAAACGGAGGAATGAGGGGAAATACACGGTCTGGGAGGGTGTATTTGCATTATGCTGGTTAGTGAGCTCAGTAATTATCCTGCAGCTCCAGGAGCATCCAGCAGTAAGTTATCCCCTACAGTTCCAGCCTCCCAGAGGAGGACCCAGCCACCCAGGAGAAGCAGGAACCACACACAGGACAGAGCTGTGGAATCCTAAATGCCTCGTATCTGTGTGATCCAGCTCAGTGACACCAGGGCAGTCCATTCCCAGTAGCCATGGGAGCCAGGAGCCAGCAATTTTCTGACGGGACGTGTTCAACCTGAAACTATTTTCAGGAAGGTATCACACCTATGGGAACTCCTCATGGTTCCTCTGGGAGAGACTAGAGTTTGTCACAAGCCAGGGCTGTGCTCCCAGGAAGGCAAAAGCCAGCTCAGAACAGAGCTTGGATAGAAAATGGGCATGTTCACATCCCGGTTGCAGTGCAGGTCATGCCCTCAAGTGACTTTGATAAGGTTGGTTTGAGTCCAAACACAAACTCCTGCCAAAACCAGGAAATGCTTATGTATCTATATGAATATAGGAATCCCAAAGCAGTCCTCACGGGAGTGGAGGCAAAATCTGGGATGCAGAGTAATGGTCTGGGAGTGGAAATTCATACTTGTTCATGAGGCTACGCTGGAATATCTGCCTTGGAAACTTCGCAACATCTGAAACATTTTCTGATGGCAAAAGGGGAAATTGTTGGAAACTGAACAAGTGTTTCTTTCCTGGCTCTAGTCACAAAGGCCTGTGGTGATGCCAAGCTGATGACAGGAGTTATGTACCACCAGACACCCCTGATTTAGTGGAAATTGCAAACAGGAGTGCTCTGGCTGCTATTGAGCTTCCCCAGGCTTTTATTCTTGTGCCACAGACAGCACCTACCTTTCATTATGTACAATAATCTACTTCTGGCTGCTGCAAAGCCCATTCCCTGTCACAGCTATGATGTGTCTGTCTGAGCCAGCTGGAAATGAAGGAGCTGCTCCGTGTGGGAGCAAAGGGCAGGGCTGAGGAGCCCCTGGCTGCCCCACACTCACCAATGTGGGCAGGCAGGTGCATCGTCGCAGCAGCTTGAGGTACAAATGCTCTGAAATGAAAAATGATGCCTTCAGATCTCAGAAAACTTGCAGCTCCCACCCATAAGAAGCATGGAAGAGGCTGACTTGCTCCCCCAGCTTCTCCTTTAATTTAGTTTGCAAAGCACAGCAGAAAAAAAAAAAAAAAAAAAAAAAAAAAAAGCCTGGCAGAAAAGCTGGTGACTGCACAGGCTGCTGTTTCTGGGATGGACACAGAAAAGCAGCAGCTGTCAGGGTGTGATGTGAGTGGGGAGGGGGCAGCCCTGGGCTGGCTGGATTCCCGAGGGGCACAGAGAAATCCCAGAGCCCGTGCCCAGGACAGCACTGCCTCTGCTGAGTGGGATGATGAGTTCACAGCACATGGCTCCTGGAGGGTCTGATTCCAGCTGCTGGCCCTGTTTGTGGCAAGCAGCAGTTCAACCCTGTCCTGCTCAGGAGAGCCTAAATCCTCCCCATCCCCCTGGCAGGACAGGGAGGAAGAACTGCTGCTCACTGCCAGGCACTTGTGGTGCCTGAAGCATCACTCCAGAGGTGTGGGGTTAGTGGGCACCTCTGTTTTCCATCAGCATAGAGCAGAGCACAGTCCTCCCCTCCTGCCCCTACACAGCCCCAAAGCTGAAGCCAATTTGTGACCACATGCTCAGTTTGAGCAAAGTCCAGTGGTTACTGAGGACAATCTGGGGGGTGTTCCCTTCCTGCTCCAGGTGTGGCAGGCAGGGAGGAGGCCCCGGGGCAGGCGGGAGAGGTGGAGACCCTTGAACTGTGCGTCCATGGAAGGCCATGGTGGAGGAGGGTGCCCAGAGGAGCAGCCCAGCCCCACAGAGAGGCAGCAGGTCTGGACACACCCAGGGCAGAGCTGGCTGTTTCCAGGTGGAGGGTGACACCCTGGATCTGCGGGCAGTCACAAGGTTAATCAGAGATTAATCTTTAGGCAATTAAGAGAAGGAAGCAGTCGATGTGCACAAACCCCAGTTAATTCCCACGTAGGAGGCAGGTGGCCACGTCAGGCTGTTGGTTTTGGTCTCCTGTCACTCAGGTGACACAGGACACAGCTCCCTGTGCCCGCAGCCACTCTCTGCTCCCTCACCTTCTCCGCAGCTCTGTGTTGTCCCTCAGGGTGGGCTCTCCAGCTGACAGCAGCTTCTGGAGGAAAGCCCTGGCCTCGGTCCACGCTGGCCAGCCCAGCCCCATGAAGGCGTTCAGCGTGGGCTGACAGTGACACACAGGTGCAGGGACAAAGAAAAGACCACATTTTGCTTATCCTTCACTGCAGGAAGATGTCCCACACTCCCACCCCGGTGTTGGATGCCTGTCCCAGGGGTTATGTGGCCGTGGCTGCCCAGAGCACCCATCCCCCTGCCCATGGCTGCCCATCCCCATCACACCCCACAAGTCCTCTGCAGCAGGACCTGCTGCATGTCGGCATCACCCCATCCTTCACACCACTGCAGGCCCTGCTGGCTTTGATATCTCAGCCAGCTGTAGACAGAGGTTGTTTATATTTACCTTTATCCTTTACACAACCTCCCTGTCATTAATAACCCACCCATGGAGTGTTGAGGGCACAGGCAGGAGTGAATTAATATTTAGGCTTTGTGTCAGACACCTGCATTGCCAAAGGATGATGACACTTTCCTGGAAAATGACCTTTGGACCCCTGATGCCCCTGCTGTCCTTGCTTTCACACCTGTGATGGTTTTTGCTCTACCAGAACCTGCCTGACAACATATTTCCAGTTCATGTTCTTTATCTCACCACAAGTTGCTAAAGTGCCTCATGGAATACTTTTTAAATGTTTGTGGAAATTAGAACAGACTCTGATAAATACCTGGTCAAAGACGTGCTGGTGTTTGGCAAGAGCTGGTCCATTGAAAAGATGTTTAGTGACACTGAGATCCAAAATCTGGTCTCCAATGGCTACCCCAAGCCTGTGCCGAGGCTGCAAAGCAGCAAGAGGAGGGGGAAGAGAAGAAGAATTTATGCTTTTACCCAAAAATACCCCAAAGAGGGCACAGGGGAAGACAGAGAGTTTAACCAATCCAGCACCAAGAGCTGGTACCACAGCAATGGACCTTCAAGAGCCAGTCTGAGGCTGGCTGCTGGAAAATGTTAAGCCCTATAGGCAGAGCATCACTTCAGACTCCCTGCAGACCTTGGGGGGGTGGAAAGAGCCTCATCCCCATCCTTTGGGGAAAGGACAGCACAACAAGCACCCTCTTTCCCCCAGAAAGAGGCTGACTTGCTCATTAACACCCCTCATTAATGACATGCATTGCAGAATAAGCCCATCCATCTGCAATATGCTGTGAAGAGGGAAAACACTACTGCTCCTTGTACCAGTGGGGAACAGAAGCATAGGGAGGCCTTGGGCAGGGTGAATTACATCCCTGTGGGTATGCCACTGGAGAAACAGTCATTTCTGCACCCCAGCTCCTCCCCAGAGGACTGAGGGACTCCCCTGGTGGTGCCAGGAGGCACACCATGCCCAGGCACATGATTTCTGTGCCTCGTTGGACGAGGCTGCCCTACACCACCCATCCTCACAGCACACCAGGAGCTCAGGACCCGCACACCGAGCCCAGCCTGGATCCCTGCTGCAGGAACAGCATCCCACACACGGGGAGATGGGACAGATGCAGCCTAGGAGACAAAGCTCCTGTTCATGCCCCGGGCGCGTGCGGAGCCAGCGGCGACGGCGGGGCAGCAGCACCGACAGACCCACGGCAGCTGCACGGGGCAAAAACACACCACAGCCTCCATCATTGTGTCTTCAGGCAAAGACAGGCCAACTATTACAGCCACTCTGAAAAGCAGCTCACCAAAATAACCATCTTCAAAGATCCACGCTATTAAAACTATTTTTCAACCTTTAATTTCCAAGCAAGATTCCAAATGTGGTAGTAGGCATTTATTCAGCAAATATTCCTGCAGGAAAAAACTAAAGGTCATGTCAGGTTAATTTGTAACTGGGATAGTCAGGAATGACACCAATTGTTTTAGCCTGAAATCATTAAAATATTCAGCTACCACCAGAACATTATTCTCCTAACGAATTTCTGAAAGTCTTGCCTGTCATTTCACAGGGTTTGAGTGAAAATGTCTTTTTCAGAGAACAGTTACTGAGGAAGACAGAAAAATAATCCAAACTTGCTAGATAACAGCATGCACACCATCTCATTTTAACACACCATCTCATTTTATCTTCAGAAAATACCATATCAGAAAACACAATGTTCTGGTTTATTTTTTTTAAACCTACATGGATAACCAGCAGAAACCAGAAGACAATAATGAAGTTTCCATAAGCAGTGACAAATAAATTCTCCACTTTTTCCTTCTGAGAAGCAGCTCTTGGCTTGCTTCCCTTTCTCCAGGAGCTCCATCCTGTCAGGCACTCAGAGGTGTGAGGTTCAGCCTTGCTGGGCTCAGTTCTCAAGAAAATTGGGAATTGAGAGCTTGCTAGAAAGGTTGAGTCACGTTTTCTTATGTGATCATCATAAAACAGAAGGCCTGGAGCTGGCTCAGCTGGCAGGCTTCGGGCCCAGCTTCAAACATGACACATTTGCACACACTTAATACAGCACTGCATAAACATACACCCAATAGAACAACAGGTCAGCTGCAAAAACAGGTGAAACACACATTTGGTGTCCTGGTTTAATGCTTTGGCAGCCACCAACAAAACTCCCCAAGAGCAGTAGTTACTGGGGCTTTTTAAAGGTGATGGTGTGATTACAGTTACAAAGAAAATGAAAGACTACATTAAAAATAAAAAAGTTGATTGTGAAACGTGGCTGTGCCTCTACGCAGGGAGTGGAAGGGTCAAATGTCACAGAAATTACCAAAACCACACAAGAAGTACTGTACATATTAGCCAAAGTATTTCTCATCAGTATTAACACTTCTGATTTCTTTTGTGCAGTTTCAAAGCTGCAATCACAATAATCACACTAAGGAAACAGACAATGTGTCAGCTACAGCTTTGCCACCAGGTCAGGAAGCCCATGAGTGTCTCAGGCTGGGAAGTCTCCTTTATCCCACATTGCTAGGAAATTCTGCTCTCTCACAGCCTTGGAAGTATTACAACACCCCAAGAACAAAGTTTGCTGTTACTCACCTCCTCCTTCGTGGAGAAAACCCCATAGGGGAGGTTTTGGAGAGGAAAATCGGAGTCCTTGTCTACCTGGATGAAGGACATGCTGAGCCCTGAGCAGCCCCTGCCTGCACACAGCTCCCACCTCCCAGGTGCTTTGTGCCTTCCTCGGAGGAAGATCCTCTCCAGGTGCTGTAACCCAGAGCAGAGGGGCATCAAATCCCACCCTCTGCCCTCAGGCACAAACCAATCCCTGCTCCGTGGCCATCCCACCCCCTGCCTGGCCCTGGCAGTGGTTAATCAGTGCCAGAGGTTGGCCTGAGTCAGCAGCTGTGAATTGTTCCCAGCCAGGCAGTCACCCTGCTGAAAGGGGATCTTCTCCTCACAGGTACCTCTCCTGGAGGTGTTTCGATGTGCAGATGTGGCACTGAATTTAGGGGTGGACTTGATGTTCTTGGAGGTCTTTTCCAACCTTAACACTTCCATGATTTTACAAACACATGAAACCGAGGCCTTCCTGTAACAGGTAACTCGCTGGGGGTGAAGGATTCAGCAGCTCTGAGAGCAGAGGTAACAGCCCTGGTTTCACTTTGGAGGGGTCACCTGTGTGCCCTGGTGAAGTGATCATGTCCACACTGACTCTCCCACCACAAGCTCAGCAGCCCTTGGGAAGTTGCACAACTCACACATGAAACTGCACCTTTTGTGGTTTTCAGTTTTGCAATGCTGCTGCACCTTGTCAAGTTCTTCCATTTTCTCCAGATAGTTCCACCACCTTAAAACCACAGACATGTGCAGCCAGCCATAAAGAACAGGGAGCCTGGTGCTTCTGCTCCCAATCCCAGCATTCTCCTACCTGCAGCAGAAAATTCACTCATTGTCAGTAGAAGCCAGTGAGGGAACATCCTCAAAATTAGAACTAAATAGCAAAGGCCATATCTTTCTAATGAAAAAAAGGAAGATACTTGTGATTGCCAAGTCAAAGAACTGGTTTGCTGCTCAACATTTTTTTTTTTTGGCAGAGGAGTCATTAGAAGAAATGCAGCAAATGGAACAGTTAGAGATTCAGTGCAAGATGATATAACAGCTGCTCACTCGTGAAGACACACGCTCACAAGGTGCTGCTTGAAAAGGGGTCTTATTTAAACATGACAATGCCTAGCTTGTGGAAGATTTCCTGTAAAATTTCCCCAGACTGTTGGAAATGTTTTAAACATAGTGAAGAGGTTTTGTGGACAGATTATGGGATGTGGGCTATAGAACCTGCTTATTCCAAAACTGAAACAAAACCACATTGAAAACCTGTTCCAATACAGAGTCCAACATGAGCAGACAGACTCAAGCATTTTGTAGTGCTGTGAATGAGCTGGTGTTAATTAAAATGTTAATCTGCTAACCTCAAGCTGATGACACAAAATACAGATTGAAGTGCAGATCAACCACCAGGGTAACACAGGGCCATTACCAAAGCAAACAAACATGACACAATTCTCAGGTGTCACAGAAAGGTGGACATCCAGTCTAAATGTAAGATTATACAAGAGACAGGAAGTATGTGAATGCTTTTCTTGTACCTTTCCTTCTTTCAGGCACCAGAACACACAACCACACAAGGTTTCCCCCCACCTTGTGAACTCTATGGTGTGTTCTCTCTGCTTGGCCCAGAAGCAGAGATGAAAGGTGAAAGGCAGATTGGTCAGGAGGGCACACAGGAGAGAGAAAAGGAAAAGAGAGAGACCAGAAACAGGGAAGAACTCAAAGTGAGAAGGATTAGAGAATAGGGAAGTAGCAGCAAAGAGGAAAGCAAACAGAAACATCCACCAAAGGTGACACTGCTGCTCTTCCATGCCCTGTGCTGTGTAAGAGGAAGTTTAGCAAATGCTTTGAGGAAATACAGGCTCTCTGACCCATGATAAGGCAGACCATTATTGAAACTTGCCAGTAAGTTATTTATTCCTTCCTTCCTTTACTATAAACTCCATGTGCTTTGTAGATTGTGGTTAGGCCATTTCTGCAAGCACAAGCTACTTCATTTATTATTCATTCTTGCAGATGACTTTCTGTTACCACCAGAGAAAGCTCCTTTTGCTGCACAGTTTATATCCTAAATGTACTGCTTTATCTACTAATTGCCAGCCATAGCTTTTTAAGAGCATTCTGAATTTTAAAATCAACAGTCAAGGTCTGGAAGCTGCAGTGTCTCTGGTAGTTACAGGTGAAAAAATAAAAAACCCATCAGAATTTAATTGGCATTGGGAAACACGTGGTAGCTGTAAATGAATACACTTTAAGTAAAGGAATCACCAATGGAAGGTCTCCATTGAAATAAAGCAAGAGAAATCCAACTTACATATGCCAGTGACAGCCACAGGGGCTCGGATTTTTTTAAATTTTATTTAATCAAAGTTAAGACGTGGATAAACATAAATACAGCACAGGTACTTCAGATCATTCTTCATATTTGTGTACAGACAAACTGATGGATGTAATCCCAATGAAAACTGCAGTCAATGAAGTGCATACAGCCTTCCCCCCACGCACACAAAAACAAACCCCAATTTAAAAAAAAAGAAAACAACAAAAAACCCCACACAATCTCAGCACACACTCTCATTACAAATGATTCATACATAAATAGGTAGAGGGTGCAAACAAGCTAATATGCGAACATGTATAACCTCTCGTTAATGGGGAAAAAAAACCAGAAGCAGCCATAATGATTAAAATACATTCAGTTACTGATAACTAGTTGTGCCATACAAGGCATTATCAATAAAAAAAAAAAAAAAAGGAAATTGTGCTGCAGAGAAAAGCTATATACAACAAGAAAATAAACTGCAAAGTTAACGCATGCATGTTTTATCCTGGAAAAGCACAGCCCTCCAATATTTTCTCCATGTTTGTTATAAAAGCCCTCTGCACTCAACTAAAATTAAAATGATCTTAAAGGATAATACTTGTAAAGTTTACTTAAGTCTTCAGCCACAGAAAACTGCAATGAAAATAATGTTCAGAGTCATTTTCAAAACAAAAAAAACGAAAACAAAAAGATCTATTCATCTGATGACATGCATGATTAAAAGGTCTAGGCAAGATACACTGCTCTACGTTCCTGATGACTAAGGAAAAAAGCTCAAGTCAATTTAATCTGCAGATGGTCAGAAGATTTTTGTATTCCAGCAGAAGCAGCAGTTCAGATCTTCTGGATCTTTTCCCCAACAACTACAGGATTCTCTTTTCTGATTTTCTCAGCAGCATCAGCTTTGTAATTGTAAGAGCAACTGTGTACATCTGAGTAACGGTGCATTCCACAGTAAACGTTCCCACACCGGCACTCGAACCCTGTGGACAGAAACAGCAGCTTAGACATTTCAACATTCATAATTGCACTGGTTTGCTTTAAATCCTGAATGTGTTCACTCACTAGCAGTAAATCTCAGTCACCAGTGGCAATCAATCAGCCAAAGAGCCTCTGCTGCAGAAAGCATAAGAACCAACAGTAATACATTTTAAAGTGATTACAGCAAGATTTGACTTGACCATTCCACCTTTTTGCATGACACTCTAGCACAGAACATTCCTAGAGAACTCCTGCTCTTTTGCCTTGTTTATGAATCTTCACCCTCCAGAACTCAGGCCCTTTCACTGAACCACTGCAAAGATGGCTAGTGAATGACAGCAAACTACCATCCAATTCCTTAGCTAAGGAGACTTCCAAAAGGAAGTAATTTGGATTATGAACTTCACTTTAAGACAGGAGGCTGAAAAACAAAATGATACATGAGTGACTAATCTAGTAAGAGTCAGCTGAAAGCACCTTTGACTGTTATTCCAAACCAATATCAAATGACCATGCCCCATTTTCCCTTTAAGATAGCATTTCAAAGAGCCAAAGCCTAAACAAGCCTAAGGAAAGTGAAATCAGTATTTCTTACCAGTCAGTCCAACCTTCTTCCTGCACATGAAACAACGATTCTTTTTCTGTTTTGGTTTGTCAAGCGACTTGTCCTGTTCTTCAGGTGTAGGCTCTGCATTCTCTGACACTGAAGCTGACATTTAAAAAGTTAGTAAGAACAGTGGAGAAAAAAAGTCTGTCTCTCTCTTTTTGAGTCCTACAATGATCTAAAGCCCATGCTGCACATTTGGCCATTTTGCTGCAGCTTCCATGTCTGAAGTCTGCAGTCATGCACTGGTCCCTCCGCAGAGTCTGGAACTCCCTCCTTCTAGACTTTCAATATAATGTAAGAAAAGAACTCACCAAATGCTTGAAAATACCACAAAAACAACCAAAACAATGAACATTAGGTTTAACAGCAAGATTCAGCACTGTCAGATCCAGGAAGAACAACAGCCAAGTGTTTCCCCACAGTGTTACTTGCCCAGCTCCCAAAATCTGCTTGCAAGAAGCACTCCATGTAACAGGATCAGTTGAGCCAAACACCCTCTTTGAAATCCTGAATCAACATTATTTTTGCTGAAGACTGCAACATGGAGGCCACACAAAACACAGTGTTTCAGAATAATTTCTACCACTGTGATGCCGCTGCTCTAGCACACCTGGAAAAAGCCTACACAGGCCATAAGTCACTACCTGGGGTGAGAAACACCAGCTCAAGAGACCCAGACTTATAGGGTGGAACTACACTGCACTGGAGCCCAGAAGGAAGCAATAAAAACCTGATTTTAAAGATATTTCTCCTAAGGCATCTTTCAACCTACTTTAGTGTTCTCTCAGTTCTAAAAGAAACAGGTTACAGGTTGTGTGGGAGAGTATGAAGAAGTAATAGTAGTATTTGCCTGAGTCAGGTAAAAATAGAAGTTGGCTGGTTTTCCTCAAGTATTTGCACATTCCTTACATTACAAAGCAGAAACAGAAATGAAAAAACCCAACTTCATTTCAAGAAGGGCTAAGAGCCAACCTCTGCCTACCAGACATAGCTGGATCACAGCAGGACAAGTCTCCAGTGACTAAGATACACAGAAGTTGGGAGTATTTGCAGCAAAGAAAAAAAGCAAGCTCCAGCTGGGAGGAGTGTGGATGGAAGCAGAGCTAGAACCAGTGCTGTAAGGAAGGGAATACAGCAGCAAGCTCAGACATCTGTCAGGGAAAAAGCTGCAGGCATCTCCGTGCAGCTGGACTTTTCTTTGTCAGGG